CGGGGCTGGGGGTGGTCCCCTCCGGGTCTAGGGCGAGGCCCGGCCCCGCGAGATCCGGGCAGTTGCGGGGAGTGGAGGGGCGTCGTGCCACCTCCGGGTTGCAAAGCCATCGTGGGGAAGCGCGGATGCCCGCCGGTGAAGCCCAGGCTCAGTACCCGGTGAGGGGCAGCTGGAGCGAGGACAGACCCGGGCTGGTGGGTCGGAATAGAGCCAGACCCCTGGACGAGACCTGGAGCCGGACCTTTAACCTTTTTGCGGAGGGTTAGGGGCTGACCCTGGGGCCGTTGCCTAACGCTCAGTGCTCCCTACAGACCCAGGAACCGGGGTCCCCAGGCCCGCGCCACGCTCCCGTCTGACTGTCACCATGCTTGCGTGCCTGCACCACGTCTGACAGCTGGCCCCTTGATGACAGCGTCTGAGGTAGGTATAAGGTTCCTTTTCTCCCGCCTTCGCCTTCGGGTGCCCGATCCCGCTTGGAATCCTTCCCTCCAGTTTAACCACAGTGACTTAGTGGACAGAGAGGGGACACCCAGGGAGCCTCTGAGATGTTCTGACTGGTTGGATGGCCTTGGGTTTCAGTTTACCCAGTGTTTACAGGGGGTGGGTTGAACCCCTTCTTGTTGAGATAGTTTACTTCTTTACGGAAAAGTGGATCCTAGATTCCTTCCTTAGTAGTATGGAAAACAGATGTTGCATCCAGTTTTACAGAGGAGAGTACAGAGGCAGGGACTCGCTCTGAGGCCTGCAAATTCCCCAGCCCCTGCTTCACTGGCTCAGCTTTTAGAAGAGCAGGCTTGCCCCCACACATCCGCCAAGCAGCCTGCCAGGGAGCCTGTGCTTTCTAGTGCTGAGTAAACAGCTGGAACAGTTGAGAAGTTTACCAGGGACACAGCTGGGGAGTTTGAGGAGAGAGAAGCAAGGCTCCCAGTCAGCCAGGCACTGGGAGAGCCCTGTTCTTTGCTCCCTTTCTGCTCCTCTTTCGTCCCAGCCATGGGGCAGGACTTTTTGTACAAGAAGCCTCATTTAAGAAAATTCCCTTAAGAGGCATTTATTGAGCAGCGACTAATGTGCTTGGCCCTGAGATGATAGCAGTGGACGGGCTATTAGCACAAAGGCCAATATGGAGCCTGGCCCGAGCAAGCAGACTTTCAGGTGGGAAGAGCAAATAAGAAATGAGACACAGAGTAGTAAGTTCAGTGGTCCAAGAAGGCCCAGGGCACTCAGGTATTTGAAGTGTCACCAGCAGAGCCTCCTTGGGTGAGGGTCAAGCTGAGTCTTAAGGGAAGATAATGGCAGGTTCCCAGGGTGGACCAGAAGTTGGCTTTGGGGGTGATGTGGAGGTCCTGTAAGATCCAGGGTAGGTCTGCTGCCAGGTTCTTTTCTTTCCTTGTGCATTTTTTTCTTTATCTAACTGAGATAACACTGGCTGCATGGTTTGGTATATACTACACTGACAAAAGTAAGATATCACTCTTTCCCCCGTTGTAAAGCATTTGTGCCGAACGTGCTTTTTCAAAATGATCCTTAACATTCCACCTAAAGACTATGGCCTGGTTTATTTGCCAGGTCCCTATAACTGGCCACTTAGGCTTTTTTCCATATTACTACCATTATAGAAACAGGCCACAGGGGATATCTTTTTGCACAAAGTTTTGCTTCTGACATGAATTGCAGCTCCAGCCTTCTCTCACACTTGTTCCTTTTTTGGTCCTGGATTTTGGTGTCTTCCTCTGTCACATGGAGATGGCAGTGTTGACGTCATGGGATTGTGACAGGGGAGTGGGGCAACAGCAACCAGCAAGCCCTGATCCTGGACCCCATAAGTGTTCACTCTCTTCCCTTCAGCCAGTGGGAGACACTGTGGATTGGAGGGGCGCCTTCTACCCACAAACACATGAGGTCTCGGAGTCTGGAGAAAGGCCAGGTGTGAACCTGGCCAACCTCAAGGGTTCCCAAACATGGCACTAGAAACTGGAGACACATTATCTGTCACCTTCAAAAACAGCCCTGCGAGGTTGGGAGCCTCATCTCCATTTCACAGATGGGGAAATTGAGGCAAAGAGGTAGAGAAAATGAGCTCTCTTAGGGTGTACCATGACGCTTAGGCAGAAGCTAAGCTATCGGGTCTCCACTACCCGGCAGGCTGCTCACATGGCCCATTTCCTTTTCTCTCTCAGATGTGTGACAGGGGCCAGGTGGCCTCTACCCTGCGCTACTGCCTGACCGTCAGCGGCATGGTGGTCCTGGTGGCCGGGACACTGTGCTTCGCTTGGTGGAGTGAAGGGGATGTGGGTGCCCAGCCAAACCAGCCAACCCCGTCCACCGGGTACCCCACTCCCAAGGCACCCAGTACTCTACTCAGGTCGGTCAGCTTCTTCTGCTGTGGCGCAGGTGGCCTTCTGTTGCTCTTGGGCCTGGTATGGTCTGTCAAGGTCAGCACCTGGGGGCCACCTGGATGGGATCCATATTACCTTTCCAGAGACCTGTACTACCTCACTGTGGAGCCCTTGGAGAAGGAGAGCTGCAGGTCAGTAGGGCAGGGTGTGTGTAGGGTGGGGGGCAGGGAGGGGGTGGGGGTACCATCATACCATCAGCCATTTGCTAAGCCAACTCTCTTGGGATTCCTCTTCTGGACCAGGCCTGGCCTATGGCCCGGGGGACTTGATGTCTGGTCATATAACCCAGGAAGAACTGAAAGCCCCACAAAAGAGGCAGGTGTGGACAAAACAGAAAAGTAAAACAGTGAGAGAGGGGTAGACAGAGATATGAAGAAATATAGAAAGGCTTCCTGGAGGAGGTGACAAGTGAACTAAGCACAGTAGTACTAAGAGTAGCATAGGGGTTGAGAGTCCAGGCACAGGGATTCCCCCCTGGTTCTATCACTAACTAGCTGTAGGATTTGAAGTAGATTGTGCAACCCCACTGAGCCTCAGCTTTCCTATCTGAAGTAACATGGGGATAAAAGCCACAATAACAGTAAAAACCTGGGTAATACGTGCTAATACTTACCATGTGCCTGACTCTGTTCTATGTGTTTTTCATATATTTACTCAGGCCTCAGAGCAGCCCCCAAAGCAGCTACAAGTGGAGTTATTAACTCCACTTCTAGATGGGCAGCTGAGGCATCCTGAGGTTCAATAACTTGCCCGGAGTCTCCTGGCTGGTGTGTGTCAGAGCCTGTCTCCCAGCCCCTTCCTGCCTGAGGGCCGTGGGGAGAATGGAATGAGATGGTGTGTGTAAGACTTAGCTCAGCGCCTGGCACTGGGCATTTCCTCAAGTGGACAGGCAGGCGGAAGCGCACCTGCTAAAGCTCGGGGGAAGTGGGATGGAGGCAAGAGTTTGTGTTAAATAACATTTCTCAACTTATGTACCACTGCTTCTTCTAAGAGACCTTGTAAGGCATATCCCTCCTAGTTCTTCCCCCCACCCACCCCACCTCAGAATTCTAATGCCACAGCTACCCTGCATCTTAGCTCGTGGGCTGTAGTATACGATGCTTTACAGAGTATCACCAAGATTCCAAGAACCAGTTTTTACCCGGTGTGAATGCAGCATGGCCCATGTGAAGTAGTCACGCAGGGGTGTTGGGGTGCCTACATCCGCAGGGCCTGCATGCCTCTCCTCCATTTCCTCTGCTCAACCATGTAAGGTGACACTTGCTGTCCGCAAGTAAGACTGTTGTCACTTGTGGAAGAAGGTGAAGGTCACATAGCTAGAAAATGGCAGGGTCTGAGGGTGCAAAACTTGCCTTCTCCTACCCCTCTCAGTAGACCCTGGATTTAGATGTGTTGGGACTAAACCAGCTATCCCTCAGCTGACTTGGGACCTGGCACCCCCTTCCCTGAGTCACAGGGAACTGCATTCGGAGTTCAAGAATGTAGCTGCTGCTGGCCTGTAACTCCCTGGGACCAGAGACAACACAGCCTTCAACAGAGGCCACTTCACCTAAAGGTCAGGCATTGGTCTGTCCTAGTGTGAGAGAGAGCGCAGGACCTGGGAGAATCTCCAGTCAACCCTTCACTGGCCAGATGGGAAGCCTGGTTCTCAGGGAGACTGGTGACCTTGGTACGTCACATGGTCAGTGGTCATTTGGAACCAGGCCAGGCCTCAGGGTTCTCAGGACTGGATCCTGTGCCTTCCCTGCCCAGCTGTGTCTGCATGCAATGGTGGCTATTGTCTGTATACACAGCCATGTTGGCCCACTGGGATCGAGGCCTTGACGGTGGCAGTGGGACGTGGCCACTTGGTCTTCATGTCTAGCCTGCCCAGGGTGGAAGCCCGCCCAGGAGGCTGCAGGGTGCACATGGTTCAGCGATTTCAAGGGCTCAAGTCTTAGATTCAGACCTGGGTGTTAGGGAGGTGGTTTCTGCGAGTGGCTCTTTCTTGTCTCCAGTCTAACTTGCTATTTGTGAGTCCAGCATCTGGCCCCCACGAACAGACCACTTTGCTGTTCCCTCCTCTAGGTGTCTTGCCCTCTGAGGGTGAATTTAGATCAGTGACAAAGGCCTTCTAGATTGAAGGCTTGGGGCTACCCATTCCCCTCACTGGACCTCTTGTTTTCCCATCTATTCATCAACTTATTTTTTTTATGCATTTAACCACTGTTTACTGAGCACTGAATCCTATGCAGAGCGCTAACGGTGCAGTAATGGACATCTTTGCCCTCAGAGAGCTCGTATCTTAAGTATGAGCCCTAAAAGGAGGTGGCTGAAGAGTAGGGCCCCCTGGACATGGCCCCCACTCTCAGAGAGAGCCTGGGTTTATCGGACACCAGCATTCAGTCTGCCTTTTCTTGTATAGCTGTGTGTCCTTGAGGATGTTACTTGGATTCTCTGAACCATGTCTCATTCAGTCCTTATCTGTGGCCCATCAGGGACATAGTTTCCTCCCTAGAACAGCAGGTGGGGCCAGAAGAGATGACAGATTGGGGAGTCCATCCACTGCGAAGTTCATGTCCTCTTTACCTGCCCCTGCTCTTACTGTACCTTGCAGCTTGCCGCACGCTCTGGCACCTGCCCAGACTGATCTAAGTGCAAGGGTTAACCTATTGTGCAGAAGAGAAAATTGAGGTGCGGAGGGATTTAGGGGGTTGAGGACGAGGAGTGTGACAGGTGGAGCAGCTTGAGCTTTGCAGTCAGACAGGGGACCTTTGTCCCTTCACCAATGGTCACCTTCGTGCACGTGTAAGATGACAGAGAGTTGCTAATCCCAGGGCTGTCGTGAACATGCAAAAAGATTCGATGAGCCCTTAAGTGCCGGGCAAGTATTTCAACCCTCATCCCTTCCCTTTTCCCCACTGTGTTTACTTGACTCAGCTGAAGGGTGGAGGAGCTGGCGCCAGGCCCAGGTCTCCTGTCCCACCAGGTTCCTGGGAGTGAGGGAGCCCCCAACCTCCACTGAGCACACTATACCGTGGTGGCAGCTGGTGCCACACTGCAGAAGCCGCATCCATAAAACAGCGCAGGCAGGCCCTCCTGGGGTGTGCAGTATCCCACCTTGCCAGGGCCTTGTGTTCCCAAGTTCCCAGCAATCTGGGCCATGACTGTGGAGACCAAGGGTGGGGTGGCCTCTGAGCTACTGAGGTAACAGCAGTGAGAGGGTCACCCCACATCTGCCCTCTAAACAAACTTCCTGCTGCAGGCTGAGCTCACCTGGCACCAGTGCCCTACCCTGCCAGCTGTTACCTGCTGGGTGGCCCCAGTGTACTCAAAGGCTGGCTCCTGTCTCCAGGACTTGGAGAAGTGGGGAGAGGATGGGGCGTGGCTGAGTGGTGAATGGGGCAGGAGACCTGAGATTATTTCGGAGTGTTTTCCAAGTCTCTCCCCATTTGTTTCTGGGTATGCACATGGGAACACAGCAATAGGACCTGCTGCTGGGATCTGTATTGCCCCAACTGCAAGGATGTTGAGCTCAGAGCTGGGGAAGACCCCCCTTCTTGGTTTCCTCAATTTCGGGGTTTTGCTACTGCCTTCCAGGGAAGCAGGGTCTGTGAGAGCAGCTGGCAGAGCACTGGGATGGAAAGCCCATATTTGGCCTCTGGCTGGTGCCCTGCATCAGACTGGCACAGTCTGGGAGCCAACCCAGACTCCCCAGAAACTGCTCCATCACCCTGTCTGACTGGAGCAGCAAACCTGCCTCCCAGTGGGCTGCTCTGAGGGCTGTGGTGGGCTCAGGCTGAGGAACCATGCAGAGAAGGCTGTTCCTGTGTGGGTGAAGGGGCCTCTGAGGGTGTAGCACCCAGCCTCTGGATGAAGTTCCCACCCCTGCCCCGCTGCCTTCCAGCCAGCCTCCTGCCTTGGTCTAGAGAGTCAGGCCCACTGGCACAGATGGGATTGCTCCCCCACAGCCTCCAAACCAAAGGCCCTGGGGAGGTGACAGCCTCTCAGATCCCGTGTGGCTTGCCATGCAGGAGACCCGTCCAAAGTCGGTCCCCACACCCCTTTCTCATGGAGACCTTTGAGATTTTGTTTCCAGTCCTATTTACTAAGTGTACCAAATGCCCCTGCTACCATCTCACTTAATCTTCATTCTGTGCCGTGAGGTAGGCGCTGCTGCATTTTACAGGTGGGTGAACTGAGGCCCAGGTCATTGGACTTACTGACCTCCTGCCAAGAGACCAGGAGATGTGGTAGAGCAGAGTTGAGCCGGTCAGGGTTGACTCCTATCCGGCCCTTGGGCCACTTGGTGTGGGATGGGGTCTTCATGGTCACGTCCCCTACCTTCCCTGAACCTGCTATATGGCAGTATCACCCCTGAAGCAGCCCAGGGCCATGGCACTCCTGCCCCCAGTGCTCTGGGAGAGGATGGGACACTGGCTGGGGGTCCCCACAGGTGACCAACAGGATGCCAAGAAGACTGAGGGACAGCCTGTTCCCAGGCACTAGTGTGGCTTGGATTCCAGTGACCTGGACTTGGAATGCAGCCTGGGGAGCCTGGTCAGAGCAGCCTTGGAGGACCCCGTCTCTGCCTCAGGTCCCCCAGGGTGGTTCACTTGGGTGAAGTCAGGGCAAGACACAAATCAGCTGAGCTGTCCAAAGGTAGAAGTGGTTTAACATGGCAGTGGTGAGTCCGCCTTCTCTGAGCTGTGCGCATAGAGGTAATCACTTGGTGGACGTCTGTCAGGGCCTCAAGCATCCAGATGGACTGGAAAATTCAGGTCTCTCATCCTGTCCTGAATGTCCGCAGCTCCAGATCTTGTAATGAATACTAATTCCAACAAGTTGGAAGCCTCCCACGGACCATCACTCAGTCTTTCAACAAACCCTCCCAAATGCCTACCTTTAGCTCCAGTCAGTCCCTGCCCTGGGGCAATACAGTGGGATGAGTGCAGTGACAGAGGGGAGAGCACTGTGGGAGCCCAGAACAGGGAGTGGGGGCTTTATTGGAGGAGGGGCATCTAATCAGGCAAGCTCCCCAGAAGACTCAAGGGAAGAGTGAGGACTGCTCAGCAGGGAGGAGAGGGAGGTGAGGATGTTCCCTGCAGAGGAAACTGAAGAGGCATGTGGAGGCAGGTCTGGTCTCTCACCAGGGAGCTCACTCCCCAGGGTAGGGAGGGTGGAGTGGGAGAGCTGAGGCTGGCAGGTGCCAGCTCATGCTAAGCTTAAACTGTGTATCCAGGGTTCTGGGGGCCCCAACGAAGGCTTGGACTGGAGCATGAAGCCTTCCTTGCACCTGGCCTTCCTCAGTCCCCAGCATGCATGTGGCTTTCTCCCTGCTAACAGTCTCTCCTGTCCCTGCAGGACCCCGGAGCTGGTTGCCATCCCCACCTACGAGGAGGCTGTGCAGTGCCCCCTGACTGAGTTTTCCCCGCCGCCACCTGCCTACCCAGTGGAGGAAGGCCTGAAATGCAACATGTCTGGGGATCCCCTTCTTGGAACCCAGCACCCCCTTCCTCCCCCTAGCTATGAGAGCATCGTCCTAGCTGTTGGGAGCGCCTCTGGAGAGACAGCACCTGGCGCTGCATGCTACTGCCCAGGCCCCGCTCAGACTGCAGGGGAGGAGCCATGTGCCTCAAAATCAGAAACAAGTGACAAGCTCTTCTAGTGTCTACTACGGAGCCTGGTACACAGTAGGCGCCGCTCAACCACTGTTTGTTGCTGAGTGCTGGTTTACTTATCTATTGCTGTTAACAAATGGCTTCAGATAAATGCACTTTATTACCTGTCATGAGTCTGTGGGCAGCCTGGGCCCAGCTGGGTGGTTCTTTTACGCTACATGATTGGGGGCTGGGGACTGCAACTGTCAGGGTCCCCGCTGGGTCGGAATGTCCAACATGGCAGGCTCATGGCTGGCAGTTAGTGCTGGCTGGCGGCTGGGAGGTTTTGTTGTGCAGTGAGAACACGGGGGCCCAGAAGCTGGGACTGGCTGAAGGTCATGTCATGTTTATAACCAAAAGAACACGGACTCCGAATTCATACCACCCTCTGCATAGGTGCTACCACGTCCCTGCTGAGTGATTGTGGACAAGTCACTTGACCGCTCTCTGCCTCCATCTCCTCATCTGTAAAATGGGAATTGGGAATTACGGTAGAACCAGACCCTACCTCAGAGAACTAAGTTGTGGGGGTTAAGTGAGATGACAGCAGTTGACACTGTGACCTACCAGCTCATGCCATCAAGTTAAATATGGCTTCTGCTCCCATACCTCCTGGGACAGGGAGCTCACCACTCCTTGGTTTGCAGGTAATGACAGAAAGGTCTGCTTTCTCTCCAGCCACATTTTGTACCCCTACATCTCCACCCCATTTCACAGATGAGAAAACCAGCTCAGAGAAGCTAAGTAACCTTTCCAAGGTCACACCGCAGACAAAGACTCAAGCTCCTAGGTGGAACTAGCTGGCTAAGGGTGGCGTTCCCTGAGGGCCTCCTGCCTGCTGGGCCAGGCCCTCTGGGTGGTATTGCCATGTAGCAGCTGTGGGAACGGAGTCTCAGAGAGGTAAAATCAGACAGCAGAAAAGCAGAGCCAGTGTTTTCATTCAGGCTTGGTGGGCTCCAGGCCTGAGATCCCATCCCGTCTCCTAGTGTCTGCCAACGTCCCTGCAGCCTGTTCTCAGTGTGGTCTCCAGAAGGAGCCAGATCAAGTACAGATCTAGGAGGTGCACAGAGCTCTGAGTAGCTCCGTGCCCACTTTGAGTTACAAAACCATAACTCAGTGTGTGGGCAGGGCCAGTGCCCCTAGGGCTGCCCTGCTGCTTACTCTCTGCCACACACTGTGGGGCCTGCCACTACCCTCTCCCCCACTTCTCCTCCCCTCATCACCTCCTCGCCACTCTCTCTCTCCCTGAGGCCCTTGCTCTTAAAAAGCTGAATCCCACCTGGCTCCTGCTCATTTATTCTTATGTCACCACATAACATTTTACTTCAAAAATTGTCTTTTGCTTGTTTGCTGTATGTTTTTCCTACCAGGAAGCTCCAGGAAAGCCTAGAGAAGGTGCTGGGCACCAGGAAGATCTCCCTAGATATTTGTTGACTGGTTGAGTGAATCAATAAATGTCAGTGTTCACTGTCATTACTGGGCCCGCCCCCTCAGCCACCCAAGCCAGGCATGTGGCTCGTCTGGAAACCCAGCCTTTCCCCTACCAAGCCTGGGACCCCTCCTCTTCTCCTCTCCCATCTTCCTGTATCTGGGGATGGAGGTCTCTGCATTCTGCCTTAGTCCTGACCCAAGGCAGCATGACTTGAGCTGCCCCTCCCCCCTCACCCCCTAACCCAAGTCTCCTATATGTATCAGGGATTTGGTTGGGGGGGGGCACGATTTATCAAGTCCTCTGCAATTCCAAAAGGGTTAAAGGGATCCCAGGCTGGAAGCAGAGCCCAGCCTCCTCTGCCCCCAAGCAGAGGCGTTTCCCCAGGAAGGTGAGTTAATGAGTGGCAGGGGTGACTTGAAGGCACCATTTTTGCCAGGTAATCACCTGGAGGGGGGAGGGGCGGGGAGGGCAGGAGGACTGGAAAACACTGTTTTCTCTCCAGACCAGCGCCTCTGGTCCCCACTGAAAGCCCTGGGAGGGCACCAGCCCAGGAGGCGGAACCA